TCTTATCGCTTATTGCTCTGGAATTCTTTTTAAAATGTATGGAATCTATCAAGATATCTTGAGGTGGCACACAAGCTTCAACTGCACTTCACTAAATCTCAAAGAATCTATGCATCTTTACCTTTTTGCCCTTTTTCTCATGTTTGTTGCACAAAGGAAACAGCTTTTTATGTGAATGATGATTAATAAGCAGCCCTGCTGAAGGGTGACAGAGCTGGTGCTAAGAACAGGCTGCTTTGATAGACACTTTAAAATGTGTTCTAACATGTGAAAATGATAGGCTGTCAAGTCACCATTCAGGTGTACACCAGGATAACAACATGCATTTGAGAAAAATGATAAGGTAAAATACACATTTCTACAGTATGAAGATAAATAGTGAAATACACACTTGTGTGTCTCTATGTAAAGAAGAAAAAATAAAAAATAAATTCAGAGTGGAATTGTGAGTAGTCTGGACATCTCTATTGCCTTCTGCTTGAAATATAATCTCAGCTGAGTGTGTCTTGTTGTGTTTGTGCTTGAATTAAACAGAAAAAGCATTTGCAGTGTCCATGCTATCAAATCCTCCTGCATGGTTGAAGGCATCTCAGGACAGGACTTAGTTTAGTGGGAAATGAGATCTTTCTGGAAAATAGCAAGATTAATCGGAAGCTTCTAATGAAAATGAAACAGTAGAATATCTGGTTTGCTTGATTTCAACAAGAAAACATCACCTTTCTTATATGGGAAGAAAGTTGACAAGTAGCAACTGAAGTTGTGGACTAGTGAAAGGATAGTTGTCTTCTATGTTTTTTGGAAGTATACTGCAGCCCAGAATCCCCTTCCCTGATTGCTACTTTGACCTCTTAAGAACAAAGTGCTCAAGCATTTGAAGTTTAACCTTAGAAACATGCAGTGAATAACAGGCATTTTCCCATTCCTGTTCATGTTGCCATTTTCAAACTTCTGATAAATGTCAAACCCTCTCCCTTTATAAAAAGTTTTTCCTTTTGTGTCAGGGAAAAACAAAACAGCAATGTGCAGAATGCCAGTGTGAACCATGAAGGCAACTTTCCTCACCTGAGCAGACTGCCCTGGGGAGACAGGCTAGATACCCTTCATGGAGCTGTTCCAAGCTCTTCAAACCCAGCATCAAAGCAACAACCCTCTGGCTTAGAGGTGAGAAAATGATGCCCTGAGGCACAGCTTCTGTGTCAGGCAGATAGCAAGCAATGGGCTCGTAAAACAATATTTGAAGAAAGGTAAAAAAACATGAGGCAAAGGGAAGAGTTTCTTATTAGCTGCAAAGCAAGGCTTTCCGATCACAATCTCTGACAAAGAACAGCACTATTTGGACAGTAAATCATTGTGGCCCACTGAGGAACCTGTGCTGATAAGAGCCTGACAGGCCAGGGAAGATGTTCAGGGCTTGCAGGGAAAATCTTTCATTCCAACCACACAGAGCAGACCAGCAGAGGCAGGAGGAGCAGGTACAGGCAGGCAGTTCTGAACAGGAGGGTGAAATGGGATTTCTGCTCTCTCTACAAAGAAGAGAGGAAAGCCCCTCTCTGATACTTTTAGCTGGGAATAAAGAGGCCTGCCTTAAGATAAAGGTTCTTTTACCTATGTCTTCTTCCCATCAGTTTCTGGGTCTAGTGACATAACCCAAAATGAAATTGAGTGTGTCCAGAGATACCCCTTTGTGCTCTGGGCAGGCAGGTGGCAGGGGACAGGTGACTCGGCATGTTGTGCATTTCCTGTAAAACTTAAGACTTTTTTGGACCTGTTTACTTAGTAGTGCACAAATATCTCATTCTTTCCCTTCCTCTTCCCTTCCCACTCTTTCCCTTATGCACTTAGCTTTGTCCCCACAGCAAGAGGGAGTTTGATATGGTGTAATTTACATTAGCAAGAAGGAGGGAGATTAGAGGAAAAACAGATAATTGAACAGTTTAAGCACTTTCCTCTTGATTCCTCAAACACTGTAAGTATGGTATTTCACTATTCTGTAGTATTTCTGGGACATATCTGAAATCTGAAATATCTAAATCCAAGGGGTGACTGGAAAAGAAAATAAAAAACCCAAATGTTTAACTAATGCTCAGCAGATTTTCTTGTTCCTTTGCCAATGCAAGGACAGATGCAGAAGACTACACTTTGCCCTTGACACTGACCTGCACATTATTGCATTTTAACTATACCATCTTTCCAGGGACTGCTCCACAGCATTAGTGTAGAACCATCCAAACACTCGTATTACTCCTATTTTCCAGTGTTCCTCTTGTTTTACCATTACTCTTAAGTTTCAGAGAGCTCCATACAAGACTGGATGATGAGAGAGAGCACCCCATGCAGTAATCTGCCCCCAAGCCCTTACTGCCAGTCCTGCAAGGGTATTATGTGACAACAGAGCAGCAGAGAGGTTCAAAACACATTGGAGAGTCTATTTCTAAAATTTTAAGCAGTTACGAGTTCTTTGAGGCTAGTCTGTGATATCTAAAGACACAAATCAGCAATGCTGAGGTTTTTTCCCCTCTCTACCTTCTACTGGTCATAGATTCTCTCTGCAGTCAACAGCTTGCTGCATCCTGGTTTTTTGTATTTTACTACTGGTCCAGCTAACCTGGCATCCACACTCTAATTGCAATTCACTTGTGAACTTTCTTGGTACAGTTGAGGGAATGGGGGAGAGGAAACATACATAGGTGTAGAAGGACTATGCTGTGTTCTGAATGAGCAAAACTACATCTAGAAAGTATTAAACAGTATTTTGAAAAGGCAAGAAAACCCAACAAACAGCCAGAGCCTTCTGTCTTCCTTGTCTCCTGTGGAAAAAGGGGAATTCCGGCTCCTGCCATTAGAAATAAATTGCCAGCAGCAAGGAGGTACTAACTGGTCTGACACGGTACTTTCCCCAGGAGAAGAGAATCCTGTTATAGCACCGAGAAACATTCTCACCTCAGGCAACTGATGTTAACAGTTCAGTGTCTTAAATTTAGGGAGCAAGAAGGGAACGATGATAGCACTTGCTCTTCACTACGGCACTTGCCTCGAGAGGCCTCTCAGCCCCACTTCAGATGAACAAAGTCAGTGTCCTACTGTCAAGCACTTAGAGGCACCACAGCTCCCTAACTCCACTGATGGGGACTACTCAAATTGGGTAAGCCTTGTAAATCTTCTCACTGGAGAGACAGTGTCTTGGAGCCACTATCAAATCACACAAGAGGAGTCAGATTGGATTAGATCACAGTTAAATCTATCCCAGCATCCTGTCTGTTACAATGGTCATTAGTAGATGCAAATGGAAAGCTTGTAAGAAACAAGCAAGTATAAAGTGATCTTATACCAACCCAGTCCCCTCAGGAATTACAGATTAGATGACTAATGTTCCCATAACTGGCTTTCACTGCAGTGAGACCCACCTTTCCTACCTCCTCGTCTCTGCTTTGAAACTGCCACCCTGTAGTCAAGATGTTTGCAGAAAAATGCATCTGTAATGTGTTAAGATAGGAAAATTTCTCAGCAAAATTCCCCATGTGTTGACAGAAATTAATGTTGAGATGACAGAAGACTTCATCTGTAGGGAGGAGTTAAAACAAAGTTCAGGGCTTGACAAAGTCTTCATCCTTGGAACTAATAAGCTGGCTTAAAAGCCCTCATTGCTTCTTGACTGAACCCTGGATCTTGCATCTTCCTTAAAGCACTGACACAAGGCTGTTGGATATTTGAGGACATAGCGATATTCTTGATCCTCAGGTTTAGTTCTATTTCATTTTTTTAAATATAATATTTAGCCTAGGCACAAGAAAGATTTAAGTACACTGTTCAGGCCAGTCAGAGAATTAGATATGGGTTCAGCCTACTTCAAACAGAAAGGGGGCATGAAACTGGGGTTTCTAAATTCTTTTTCTGTTCCAATTTTCTGGACTGATCCAGGAAGTTACAACCATGCAGGATTTTCCCAACCCAGTCCACATATATTTGAGTAGATAGCAAAATGTCCAGACAAGTAGACACCAAATGTTCTTCTCTTTTCAAAGATCAGATGCAGTGAAACTGGAAGAGGACGTATTGAGAAATTCCTTAAATACTTACATAGTCCTCTTCTGTATATGGTGTCATGCAGAAAAACAATTTGCTGTTCTTGGTGCTTTATAAATGTACCAAAATTCAGGTGCATTAAATTGTGCTGAATAACAGCTGGGGAAATATAATGCTATGGCTTCACAGTGAGGTATTCAAATGAAAAGACCTAATTTTACATGTAATTGCCTCACTATCAGTTTCTATAACCTACCTGCCAGTTAATCCCCCAGTGCAGGAGGCCCTCGTTTGAGGAATGGCGTATACTCCTAGACAATTCCCCAAGCCACATGTGTGCTCAGGGAAGTCTCTGGTTTGTCTTTGTGTCCTTGTAAGGGAACACATGCCATGACTGTCCTGCAGACCCTGAGAGGCAGGAGCAGGTACAGCCCAGTGCTCCCTGAACCTTCCCAAGGTCAGGATGCAGAGCCCCTGAGGCAGCCCTGACCTGTCTCACCACGGCACAGATACTCTGCTGTTCTGACAGCCTGGCAGTTCATCACCCAGATGAAAGCTCTGATCTCCCCTGTTTGTCAGCAGAGCTGTCACAGGTGAAATTTTGCAGATTTCCCAAAGTAGGTGAAATATGACTGGGGGGAAGAGGCAGAGAGGAAGGCAGGGAATGCGCAGTTATTTAAGTCTTCAATATGTCTCAGGCACAGAGCTTGGTGCTTCTGCCTGGCTCTTGCCTGTGACTCTACTGGAAGAGGCCTAAGGAACTGTTCTAGGAATTCTCCTGATTGTCAGGGACCAGCTCCTCAGCCAATGGGCTACATATGGATTCCTCAGCTCTAGGAAGAAAAGATGTAAGCCATGTACTGAGCCATCTTCTAGACTTTCAGACGTCTAATGTTCACGTTAAGGACACCCTTCTGAGTCCTAAACTTTTATTTTCTTATACACTACACGTTAATCAGTTGTCCATAAAGTCTTACCTTTTGAAGTAGTTAGGTTTCTTATAAACGTGGAAAATAGAATCCCATATATCCTGCAGAGTCCTGATATAGGGCTCTGAATCTGGTGGCAATTCCAATGCTGTGATTCAAAACTCTCTGTCAGAATGCAGAATGAGACTTAATTTTTGATGTTGAGTTGTGAATAACAACAATGAACTTCAGCTAGTCATGTTGTGGTTTTATAGCAGACACTTGAAAACAGCCACAGACCAACAATCATTTGAAGAACTCCTCAAAAAACAAGCAGCAGATGTCTTTGGAAAAGCCTAACCGTGACTGGTAGTGGAGGAAAGGGACAGCTTACAGGTTTATCAAACAGGAAAACTAGCCACAATAAAAGGAAGTGTAGCAGGCAGAACTGACCCATCTTTATCTCTCTTAGGTATTCCCTAGCTAATCTCACTGGTATTAAGATTAAGAATGGTAATAAGAATAAGAATTTGACAGTGCTCTTTCTCTGTAACTGGTCAAGGATATAGAAATAAACAGCAAACACTGGTGAGTTTCATTAAACAATAAATTTTCTTCCCTTTCCCATTGGTATTCAAGTAGATCAGTGGCATGAGGGAAGGGGAAAGAGCTTCCACCCTCTCAGTCAATTTTGTCTTTAATAAATCCTACATTTTTCTAAGTTCAGTTCATTCCAAACAGCTAATTTTGTGATAGCCTGAGGATGCAGGGGGGGGTCAATATTTTTGCAGAGAAAGTCAGGGGTCAAAATCTGATACTTGCACACTAAATACTTCCATCTTCCCTGACATAATGTACACTGAATCTACTTGTGTGATTCTAGCATCCTTAGTCCCCTCTTTCTGGTCTCTCCAATATCCATGACACAACACACTTTCCTTGTGAGGAAAAAAGTGAATGTGATCAAAATAGATAATTTGGAAGCCTGTGCCAGGTGTTAGTGCAGGAACTGTCTCAAGTAACTGAGCCACAATTTTAACCCTATGAAATAATTTGGTTCTACCAGATCTACTGCCCCAAGCTTTCCTAGGTGGACCTGTGTTGTTGTGCATGTATTTATTTTATAGCTTTGGCCAGTGAAGCATTGGAGGTACAGGGCTACTTTCCATGCAGTTCTCGGCTCTGACACTTATCCCAGTCACCAGGTCCCTGAGAGCAGAGCATGGTTTTCCCAAAGGTAACTCCAGTACAATATTCACAGCATTTATTTGGATATAGGCTTTACCTAACGAATGCCACCGAAGTGTCTCAAAGGTAAATAGAACAGAAATAGCTCAGGTTCATATCATGTGGTACTCTGAATAATGAGGAAAAGATGATGAAAATGTGCAACCACTTTTTTTTTTTTTTTCCCATATTTATTTATCTATTTTGTTTTTGGAATGAACTGCCCAACTGAAATACCTCTAAATGGCAGGAGAAATGTTTGGAGATTAGGAACACTCCAGAGATGAGATTTCCCCAGCGTCCCCTACATGGGCATATGATGAATCTCCATTATCAAAATAAACACACCTTTCTAATAAACTATGTATAAAAGAATTGGCATAGACAAATAACTTGTAGTTTATGTAAGCCAAGATTCTCTCACAAGTCCAACTGCTACAGATGAAGGGGAACAAAACAAAAATCGATAGGACAAATCACCCCAAGGAAAATTCTTAATTGTGAAAAGCTAGAGTGGCTGAAAGGTTCAGAAGTACAAAAGGAAATAGTATAAAGATATCAAGAAAGGGACAAATGCAGGGAGAGTCTTGCCAGTTATACAACTTTGCATAAGCTAAGTTGGTTTTTTTCCCACAGAAAGTTTCTTGTATGTTGGCTTTTTATAGTTATGGGAGCAAACAATCTCTGTGGGTGTGCCAGGACACCACAGAGGGCAGCTTTCTCCCCAGCATCCATGTAACCCTGGAGCTGGCTGTGCAGGGTGAACACTTCCCAGTTTCCCAGCATAGCCCATCAGGCAGGTCACAGTGGAGCTATGGTGCATCTGGAAGGGGTGTCTGGTTTCTGAGGCGAGCGGCAGAAGCAGGACCCCAAGGGAAGGCTCTGTCCCTGACCCCCTTTGCCCTCCCTTGTTCTGATCTTTATTGGGCCGTCTGCCTCGTAGCATCAAAGGCAAAAGCAGGCCCGTGATTTGTCCTACAACAGCTCTATAAAAAACATAATTGCCCAATAACCCTCTGTCTGCAAACCAAGCCATCTTCCTGTTTCTTCTCTCATAAAGACTATTTGACAAGCCTGTTCCATCAGCTTATAAAAACCTAGAAAGAGTAGCCTTCCCTAGAAAGAAACTTTACAGAAAAACAGAAAAGAAACTAATTTACTTATATATATATATATATATATATATATATATATATATATATATATACAAATATATATGTAGTATGTGTATACACACAAATAGACTAAGATTTCCACAACAAGTAAAACACATAGATCATGTAAAATAGCCAAGGATTAGCATGACAAGCAAAGGAATTATTCCTTCCTGAAGTAAGGATGTAACCCTAAAAGTGAATTTATAGTGTTTTTTACAGAAATGTTCTGTAAAAAAACTGAACGAAAGTGAGGTGGGGGTGTGCTGCTAAATTAAATGGGAAATGATTTAAAAATGATGCATCAAGATTTATCCTGGATATCCTCACATTGTTCTGAAGCTGGATATGATCAGAGACAATTTAGAATTTTTTTTTCCTCTTTTTCTCTTAGAGCTTGTACATAATAACATTGTTGCAAGACTCACCAACAAAAATGATTCTTTAGCCTTCCTTTCAATAAGTACACAATAAATTGTCCAGTCACCTTCTGGTTAGTGTAGGGAGTAGCTCATTCAGGTGACATTCTGTCCTCAAGCATCCTTGAGAAAATACAGAGAAACTTCAAATTAAATTGCTACACTTAAACTTTAAATCGAGACCATTTTGTCCTTCAGCCACTAAAAAGTAGTTTGAAGTAATCCTTTGAATAATCTTGCTCTGATGTTTTTTTAAAAGATCAGTTATTGAACAACTTGTCTGACTGTCGCAGGTTTCATTTGAAATATTGGACATAGATATACGATTAATTTGATTTGTGGTGCTCAGATTTACACTCCTGGCAAATGTAGGGATATTGCATTTTAATTTACTTTCAATACAAAATAGTTGCTTTGATATTCCTAAGAACAAACGCCTTGGGATCTGTTCCTCCCAAATGATGTCAAATAAGAATTCCTCTATTAACATCAGTGGATGAAGGATCAGGCCTTCAAAAACAAAGAATTTATGACTCCTGCTATGGGCCAAATCTCAACGTGTTTACTTTATTACACATGCAATACTGTTGAAATCAATGAGGACAAAATGAGAAAGGTAATGCCAAAGCTAAGGGAAGGTCCTGACTTCAGATTCCAATGCTTTAAATCCAGGGATGTTTCAGAATTCTCCAATTTCACACTGGTGTTTTGAGTAAGCAAAATAACCCAAATCTGGAGCAAGGGTAAAACCACAAACTCTAAGTGGCCCTTGCAGATAAGGCCACTCTGAGTAGATGTATACATAGTTAGAGTGCCTGAAACTTAGAAGTTTCAAATAACATAATAATTTCATTCATTGTACATAGGACGTCTCTTCATGTACTTTTCCTAGCTGTTTCTCAGTCTTATTCAGGAATAAAATATTTCTTTTCCATTCAGTTATCTGTGCTCTGGTTTATATTCACATAACTAATTGTCTCTGTGGGACTGAATCTTGATTACAATTACCTGTCTCCAGAATTTTATACAGCTGTCAGTCGTTGCTGGCTAACAGTCTGCTTCCAACACCCACTCTCTTGGTTTCTTATCATGCACTGGTTCATCTCTCTTCAGGGCCCTCCTGAGATTAGACAACCGAGTTGTCAAAAAAAGAACCATTTTCCAAGCCTTCTCTACTTTTTCTGCATTCTTTCTGTTCAACACAAGGTCATCTACACAGGGGACTGAGCCCTGCATTCCCCAAGCTGATTCCACTGCATCTTTTCAGCAGTTACACCCCTGAACTATCTTCTGCTCCCTCTGCAGGATCCTTCCTTCCCCTTGTACCTAGTGGAGAAGCAACCTCTCTGAAACTTTTCACAAACTGGAAGGAATTAATGTCCCAAGAAGCTACATTCAGAGTGACCTGCCCAGTGTGGACCTGTAGCTCAAGGCAATCCAGTAGGCCCATCTTACAATGTGAGATGATGCAGGAGTCCTATGTGTTGTCTCAAACTCTGTAAGGTCAGGCTTAAAAGAACTAAATTCAGTGTCTGCCTCTTTCTAGTGATGTTTCAACTCTTCTCTCAAATCTTCTTAGTACTCCCCCTATCTCCTCCCTGCATAGCTCTCTCCCTCTTAGTTCATCTAAGTGGTGAACACAAATATTCTTGGAACACTTTCAGCAGTAATGTACAAACACAGAGAATGTTGAGCCCATCTTATGATGACAAGATGGCATTTTTCCTCAATGAAGATGTCAGGCAGAAACTCACATACAGGTCACCCAGAACAGTGGACAGAGTCATACCTTGGTCATACCCAGTCATACCTTGGGCATCTCAGTCTTACCTACTTCCCAAGCTGGGAATTCTTCCTTCTTGATGTCTCCAGTAGACTTCTGTTCAGCAGCCTCCTCTTCCCACACAGTTTGTCTCAGGGACTCCCTAGTGATTTATTCTCCCCTGTGCTGAGGAAAGCTCTCAGCAGAGGCCGTGCCCATCTCAGAACCATGCCAGCACAGACACCTCCACCTGGGGGAAGCAGAGAACCACGCTGAGCTCCCTACTTTTGGAAGGTTCCTGAGTACTCTCCTGCTCCTAAATATGCCAAATTCCAGGCTTAAAAGTTGTGCCAGGTCCAACATCAGCAATGAACAACCAGAACTTGGACCAAACCCCCACATGAGAAGGAGTTTTCACTCAAAAGAGACACTGGGTTGGTTGGTGTTCTCATAGCTCCAATCTATCAGTTTTGAGGGTTTCTCCCAAGGAAAAATTTGACCCAAAAGTGGGGTTTCATCTGTAGCATTGGAACTGATGCAATACAGGGAGGTTATAAAAAGATAAGATAAAAAAATAAGATGATATTGTACAGAATCATTGCTCCTGAAGTTGGCAGGTTAAACTTGTCTGGCCACCATGCTGTAATGCTGTATGTGTGTGAAGGTTGTGTTACACACATTGCATAATTCCTACAGTAGTAATTCCAAAATCTGTAGTATTGGAGAAGAAACTGTATACCATTTGTGAGGATATACACTCTTAGAATGCAGTATTTATGTAGTATATTCAACTGATTTCTATGAGGAAAGCAGAAAGGTGCTGGACACAGCACTAAGCATGACAGAATGAATTTTTGAGCAAAAACTAGAAATTAAAGTCTGCTTTTAAAAAATGAAGTGATATATCAGTGGTGAAAAAAAGTCCATGCTGACTTTTTTTCCCAGCAGGAACATACTGTATTCAGTCTCCTCTGTAAATGCTGGTGTAGTAAAAAGATAACTTGTCTTGCAACATTAAAGAAACTGAGTTGGCCACTGTGATACTGAGATGTGTGGCCCAGAGCCTTCCAGCCCAGAGTTTAACTTCAAGCCTCCCTGCTCAGCAACTGTTCACAAAGTTGTTTAAAATGAAGGTCTCAATCCTGCTTAGCAAATCTGCATGGTATAAAGTTGAGCTAAACCAGAGCCTTGTTAAACAAAATAGGGCTCAGTGCTGGCTTGGCCATTTGCTCCTGCTGTACAGAACTGAGACTCAAAGTAGAAGCAGATTTAAAAAATCATGGAAGAACAAAACTTTCCTCTTGTTCCATCACTCAGGTTCTTAGACATGTTGAAAAATAAACAGCCAGCAACTTTTACAGCAGCAGGACTTGGAGTAAGCTATTGGGAAACCCACTAAATCTTTAAAGGAGGTACACCTTTGGAAATATTTTATAGACAGTCATCTCCCCAGCAGGAAAGCTAGTCCTGGAAAGAGACATCTTTAACAAATAAATAATAGTTTATTAAGTCACTTGTCTCCACAGCAGGAAATAAAGTGGGGGGTGAGAAGGAGAGTGGTGGATTGACAAAGGAAGGCAAACAAAAAACGTTACCCTTGCAACCCCTCTGCTCCAACAGAGCTGTATTTATTTAAAACACTCTTCTCCTAAGACAGATGGAAAAAATAATTAACCCAGCCACCCACCCCTTTTATTAAACTCCTTTGTGACCACCAGGGATACGATTAACATGGCCACCATAAAAACCCAGTCCCCTACTCTCAAAATAAAGAGAAAAACACAAGCAAGAGTGAGACACCGTGCAGGGCAGGAAATAAATTAAGAACCTGCCTTTAGGGCAGTGAAATATTTTTCTGAGTACCTGCTGGAAAATTTCACAGAATCACAGTGAAGTGGTAAGCATTCAGTTTATCTCCGTATGTGAGAGTCTTCCTCTTGGGCAACCAACTTCTGTGGAAAATGTGTGGAAGTGCCATCACTCAACAGTGGAGTAGGGAGAAGACACGGTGCCACTGGGAGGACAGAAGGGCAATTTGCAAGTTGTCCCATGCTTTCCCAGTTTTAAAGGTTGCCCAGATCCTCTGATGTCCCATGTGCAATCACAGGAATTCCTGGGGTATCTATCTAAATTTTTTATTCACTGGACTTTTTTATCATCTTCCTATTGCTGCTTCAAGGCATTCCATGCCTATGGAAGGCCAGGCCAGACTTCCCCAGGAAAAGCTATCTTCATTTATACAGTGGAAGTTGGATTTCTCTAGCTGTTTACACAGCACCATGGCGAATCCCGGCACATTCATCCCGAAGATCAGATTTTTTTCTCTCTCTACTACTGCCTTTTATAGTCATCTGTATCTCCGTTTTCAGTTCAAACTAGCCTCTCATCCAGAATATCAAAGATGCTCAGGTCAAACAACCTTCACCCCTTTGTGATGATTCTTCTGGGACCTCCTAAACTCCACAATCCTCCACATCATCAGAATCATAGGAAAGCCAGATCTATCTGTGGCTATACACATGTTCTCATGGGCCAAATGGTAACGAAACCAGATGAAAACAAATTAATAGAAGGTTATAGCAGGCTTTGTGTGCCTGAGTCTGCAGTTACAGGAGTTCATACTGGGGGCGTCACCACACTTAGATACTGACTTCACTGCGCTGCTTCCATGTTACCTTTAGCAATAAACTTGCCCTTTCTGAACATGTGTATACTGACATTCACTTCTGACTGCAGCACTTCATTTGTTAGGATTACCCCAGGCAAGAGGCGATCAGCCAGAATCACTGTGTAGAAAAGGCTTTTCATCACAGCAGCCTGACTAAAAATGTTACGTATTTTGTCTACCAGAGCATAATGGTGCTAAGAAACAATGCCAAATGTGGCAGCCTAGAACTACAAGCTGCCAGGGTAAAATGATAGTCATCTCTAAGGTTTAAGATCTGTCAGCTTCCCAAACCAAAGATTTCTATTCTGTGATTGCCAAGGAAGCTCCTTGCACACTACCATCACTATGTAAGGAAGCACTGAAAACATTCTGAGTATCTTGCGAGAACACATTCAAAGAAAATATTTATCAATACATTTTATTTCAAACTGATCTGGGAAGCATTTTGCTCACCTTCTATTAACCAAAGCCCTGACTGTTCTGTTCTTTGTCCCTTAGGAAAAACTGGAGGCCTGAGGGCTTAGTGAGAACCTGTTCCTATAGAACATTAGTACCCTGTGTGCTGTGGCAGACGGTGACAGTGGGATGATAAGTGGTACCAGCTCAAGTGAAGGATGAACAAATCCACTTGTATGGACAAAAGGTCTGCATTGGACTGTCCCAGTGACAACTGTTTAGAGTTTTCTGTAAATACAGAGAAGAGACACCTGGAGTGCAGGTAAAAGGAACATAGAACCCATACTGATAATCTGGACTGAAGTAGATGTTCCCATTTTAATAAGGGACTGTTTTAAACAAAAAAGAAGAATAGTAGCACTGTATAGGCCAAAATCCACCCAGACCCCTTGGTAGAGTGAAGTTTTATTTAGCAAATGGTTTCAAAATACATGATTGAGTAGGAACAGAGAGATGGGGAGGTGGTAACTATGATACTATCCATTTAGACCAATGGTAATCAAAATCAGAAAATTATACCTAATATTTGCTAATCTCTCATTTCTTAGAAGAACCAAACAGTGCAGTATGTGTTGTTACAGATAATGGGGGTTTGATAACCAGGCTACTGGAGAAGATTACAGATATTAGGGAATGTTAGACTAGCACAGTGTGGTTCTGCAAAAGGGCATTGAGCAGGAAACTGCATTTACTGCTGGCTCTACCACTGGAGTGTTTTGAGTAAATAATTTTGTCCCTATTTATGAAATGATAAGGACAAATGGGCTTTCTTTGTAAGACATATATTGACATAAATGGATAAGAAGTGTTAAAATGAAAGATAAAAGTTATTGGATAGCTGAGACTGGACTTAGAGCATTACTGGAAGGTACAGTCTAGTTGGAACTGGGGATATGCTAACTAAGCTGCATGTGGAAGTCTCATAAAAGTATCTTCAGTGACTATGTGAAGATGACAGCATCATAACTTTAATGTCCTGTCTGGATAGCTTTCATACAGCAATGTACACTCTGTTTGGCAAAGCTTAGGATATCTTCATACATACATTTTAATGCCTAGCTGCTACCTATCTAACTACTTTAAAAGCAGTTTTAGTTTATACGTATTTTATCACATTGTCAGGGGGGATCAGAAGTCAGTATCTGAGCATTGGGATCAGAGGGAGAAACTGACCTTGCCAGATTTTCAACTTCTGGTTATTGGCAGTCCAAGTATTTCTCCTGCTGCTCTGACAACCAATCTGTTTGTCTGGCAAGCAGTCATGAAACAGTTGATGTGGGCTGGCCCTGCTCACTGGCATTTTATCATCCCTTGTAGCATTCATCTGCTGCTTGTGGAGATGGATCTCAAAAGAGAGATTTTGTGGGGTTTAATCTATTTCCTGAGTTCTGCCCATCAACATTGTCTTCATTTCTTGCCACTTCATAAACCAGGCTCAAGTTACAGCAACAGACTTGTTTTCGGTTATTCTAAATAACTCCAGTGAGCTGCTTCAAGTTTACACTCATGTGGAATCTTGCTGCAAAGATTATGGGGATTGATGGGAATCTTCATATCAGCCTTGATTCTTCATTGTTCAAACCTATCAAAATTTTACCATTCACTTGAAGCAGGAATAAATGCCTAAAGAAGTGGTAGCTAATCCCTCACCATGTAAATTGTTCATGGATTGGAAAAAGTAACAAAGCAGTTAAAAAACTAGTCTGAATCTTGTACTGAATGAATGCCATAAATTTTGCATTTAACTAATTTCATCTAATATTTAACTAAGAACTAATGGGTGCTGCTCTCTTGTTTTCTTCTGAAAGAAATCAATTTCTTAGCTGTATGGCAGTATTGTATGAAAAAGAATTATTGTGTACATTAAAATTTTCAGGCTCTTACTTAGGCATTTCTGGTAGAGTTTAGTTTCTATGGGATAAAGCTTTGCCTCATTAGAATGTTAAAGTTGCAGGACTGTGAAGTGAACTTATACGAGTTGTAGCTTGGAGGGGTATCAGGGACTGGGTTGGGGACGCTAAGGAAAGTTAAACTGCATTAGGTACATTGATGGGTTTCTCAAACAAGTTGCCCTGTTTGTTTACTGACATGATTTCCCTAAACAACTTTGTCTCACTGATACCCAA